TGCAAAAACAAATAACCTACTGAATGAAATAATTTGAAACTTCAGATGAGCTATCTATATTGCTTCTGTAAATAAAATAAACTATTTTTATATATGACATTTGTTTGTTTGTAGTTAAGCACAAAGCTACACAATGGGCTATCCGTGCTCTGCCCTGTTTCTAGTGTTTTAAGTCCGTAGACATGCCGCTAGGAAGTTATGGTAAACTCGCAGCTTTAAATGTTCGACAATATTTCACTGTGATATATATATATATATTAAAGAAAGTTTAAAAAATGCTTACCTTTGTTGTAGATTTTAATGACTGAGCTTTTAAAACTCTGCCATACATTTTTATAATATAAAACTGGAAATTCGTCTTTGTTTTGATTCACTGTGTTTACAATAACTTGCATATAATAACGTCCCTGTGGTTTAGCGGTAAATATATGAACTGACAAATCGAGTTCCGATAACCGCAGTGAGAAAAGCACAGATAGACCATTGTATAACTTTGCGCTTACAACAAAAGTAACTTCTGACCCTGCCCAAATTATAGGCAAATAGACTTTTTTTATTAAGTTGTTAATCATATTATTGAATAAGCTTTAGACTTATTTTATATTAATTTTTATGTTTATTTTCGCCAATTTTCTTCGCCTTTTAAAACAGTTAATTAGGTCGATAAGACCTAATGTAGACACGACCTAACACAGCACAGTGTTGCTTCAAGGATTTTTCTCAAGTGGGCCAAATACACCAGTAACTTCCAGAAAGTGGGCCATCAATGTAATGAAGTAGGTATCAACTTCGCGAGTCATAAAAGCATGACATGATCAAGTAACTTTTATTTGAAGAAACAGTAAATTGAATCATTGCAATTTGTTTCATTTGTGTGTACTTAAAATATGATAAAATGTAATCTAAATCTGATCGATTAAATCCACTTTCATCGAAACATCTACATATTTATTGACAAAACTTATATTACAGTCGTCTTTTCTTCGCCTTTTTCCTTTATTTATTTCTATTTTTGCATGGTTTAGATGCAAAAATGTAGTACTTTTTTTGAAAATTAACTGCTTCTTGAACGTCTTCGTACCTTTCGCTTTCTTCGCCATTTTCAATCATCCATATCCCATAATATCAAGGGAATTTCCCGCAAAACCAAATGACGTCATAATGCAACCAATCACATTCCTTTGCATATCCAGATAAGCTAATTACTGTTCGAAATTATCCGTTTACGATATCACGATCTATCGTTACGACGTCATTCATAACACATTTCGAAGGGCGGGTGCGCACAAAAAATTTAAATACGTACACAAAAAATTTAAATACATCATCTTGTTCCATGAATAAAACTTTCATTACGTACGTCAAATCACTAGCTCATGACTTCTCTGCGCAAGCTGTCCCTAATTTAGCAGTGATAGACTAGGGAGCGGAAGCTTGTCAATAACATACACAGTAAACTCTTGAGTTTACCAACGAATAGTGGGATTAACGGTCATATTATAACTCCCCCACGGTTGAGCATATTGGTGACAGGTTTCGATCCCACGACCTGCAGATTGCGAATCTAATCAATCAGCTCTAATCAATAAAACATGCCAGATCATGAATTCTCAAAACTGAGATGTAGCCAATTACATCACACCATGACAACCGAGGTCGAGAAAAAGTGATTGGCTGAAAGCGATAGAAGTGCACTTGTAGAGAAGTTACCAGGTCAAATTAGCACTATTATGTAGAAAACTGCTTCAACTTTCTTCGGAATTCAAGAAATTCACAAACACAAATAGTTTCATTTGGTACACGCTGAAATCAACCCAAAATCAAAATTTTCGAGGCATCAATCTGGGCGTTATGTATGTATATACATACACACACCAGTGCCAGATTAGCCATGAGGCAGCTGCCTCAGGGCCCCCACAAATATTTTGTTAACATTATTTATGAATATTGCGATATTCGATTTATATATATATTTCTTATATTTGAAAGTTTGTTTTTAATATAATAAAGTTTTTTCTTCTTCTTATTTTTGAAAGGACCTCCCTAAGGATATTTGCATCAGGGCCTCCACAAACCTTAATCCGGCCCTGATGCACACACACACACACACACATATATATATGCTGCCTCGGTTACAGATATTTTAATTTCGATGTCCTTTACGTTTTGCATTATATAGAAAACTGAAGATAGTTTAATAATTTATAGTAAGGTTATACGGTGGTACGTCGCAGGAACTGTCACTACCGGATTAGCATAAGTAGCATATGCTACGGGCCCCCCGCACATACGAAAAAATATTGAATGTGTTTCAGTACGATTGTTAAAAATAAAAAAATAGCTATAGAAATCCGTTCGTGTCATATCCACCAGGGCTTTGGAGCGCTCCTTTATGCTCCAGAGCAGTAAATAACATTTTCGGGCAGATAAGGTCTCACAGATGCTTAATCCGACACTGGCCAAACTAGGGGTGTAAAAATACCACCCTTGTTTGAAGTATGTGGTTTCTGTGCATCTTATGCTGATGTAAGAAGAGTGTAATGATAAATCTCATACACTTGATTAATAGGGTCGCCGTTTGCTTTGTTTGAGCAACTAGTGCTTGATTTCTGAAATTAAAACATGTTTCACGTGTCAGTTCGATCACCGCAGCAGAAGGTGACCAGGTATTAAACATTAAACAGTACTTGTACATTTGGAGCCACAATAATGCCCTTCTGAACACGCACGTATTCATTCCACTATTCTTAGACCTAAACTTGTTAACAATGAATATTTTTCCAGAACTCTATTTGATCTCTAGAAAAGCAAAATTGGCTGACCATTTTTGTAGTAGGCTTACTTGTAAGATTCAATACCTGAACCAATATCAGAGACAGTCACTTTTGTTTACTAACAAATGGTGCTAATTTGCAGTCACAAACACACTTCTTCGCCTGTATTAAGCTTGTCACCACTTGTCAGAAAGATGTTTGAGTAAGACTTCTACCTTAGATCCACTTATAATCACTAGCATTTATCATGTGACACAAAGCCCAATGGTTGTCCAAACAGCAACAACACATCTGGATACAAACTGACTACCATCCCCACCTAAGTTGGTGCCCAGATCCAACTTGGGTTTCATTAATTCAGCCAGAGCTGTTGCAGTCAATGGTTAATTTGGGCCATCTCGCTGTGGATTATCATATGCAGGACCTATGTTACTGAGAAACGTCCTACAGAAAATCCTAACTCATGTGGCCTACTAAGCTACAATTAAAACATGAGTCATCCTTCACATTCAAAATGTCCCCTAAAAGGCCTCTCCCACTGCAGCCATGACAGTTGAGCTAAGGAAGTCTTCTTATTAAATGGGTACTAATGGAAGGTGTATCACAATACTTGTTGATTGTTTCTTTTGAGCCTTAGTGGTCGTTACCAATCCTTGATGTTGCTTTGGAGTTCTTTTTTCCGGTATCTTACTCAATGTGACCATCTCTAACATTGTTACCACAGAAACATCCTCTATCAAAAGACACAATGTCTGTTAGACCCATGCGATCTAGGTGGATCTGCACAGCAATCTCTCTACAAACTTGTTGATGATGGCTTCATGATTCGTGGGTAATATGCTTAAGAAAGTCTTCTCTATGTTGTCATTTCAACTCCTTTGCATAACTAGCAAGTTCTCATGAAGTTCACACTTTCAAGTCTTGGTTCCTTACACACTTGAATCTTTGGCGTAATGTCAGCAACAACTATGTTCAAGCTGATAGCAAGGACAAGGCTATATCGATTCTTCTAAAAGAAAACTGTCAACGCGATTGAACGAACATGTTAACCGAGGATCCGCTATTAAGTCAAGTACACTTGAATATGACATTGTTATCCATTCATATGGGTTTAAGATCTTAGTAAGGGCCAATGATGAAGAGAGGCTTCGAATAAAAGGGGAGCTTGCTCGTTAATAATCCGAGACCTGAAACTAATGTTATTGGTACAACGAATAAACTGCGCTTAGTATAAAAAATGTAGTCGTTTGTTGAGGACAGTTTTAAACACTATACCCTCCAATAAATAAAAAGTGAGCAACTAAAGTATCATGTTTCTTTACGCTACAAACCTCAATTTTTTTACTTAAGTGATTAGTAAGCTAAGGTTTGCAACGTCAATAAACCTAATAGTTTATTAAAAACAACTGGTAGGTAAACAGAATTAGTTTCGAATTCCGGCTGATCCCAATTTTAATTTTTTTGTACAATTTCTAACACTACGAGAAATATGCTACTCGTAAAAAAAAAAATAATCTAAAACTAAGTACTATTAATTGCACTTCACTTGTAGTTGGTATAATTCCTTTATTTACCAATAACATCAATGTCTCTTGAAATCAGTGTGACATTTTGTCATTGCCTTACACAAAAATTTAAATTATTAGTATTATACGAAAGTGGCGCCATCTCTGGGGAAATCCAAGATTGAGAAAATCACAATTACTTCTATTAACAATTTTAGTGATGTAATGTTTGCTAAAACACTGCATTAATTTTTCATTTTTCTAGTGTGATACATTTCATATTTTTGTACTTGAATAAATTTTGAACATATAATAATAGTGCACAACGATCTTTACATAGTTGTGTAAATTACAATTACGGTTGTCAAATAATGCGTTGTGAGAGTTTAATGTTTATAGTAACCATATATGAAACCAAGTAAATAATAATGGAAAAAAAAAGCTCTTTGAAAATTTTATGATTTTGTAACGTGAGTAACTTTTTCAATCGTTTAACGAAGTCGAAAATAGCTATTACAAGAAAATCTGAATTCATGGAATCGGTCAATATTTATTTATTTATTTATTTATATATTCTTAATCTTTAATAGTAAACCATAAACAGTTACAATTTATTTCACTGTCACCTAAATAATTTAAGATAGCCAAACAGTTATACAAGATTTTGTTTTGTATCTGTTAATGGCACACAAGAATATATACAAGTATTTTAGCATACAAGTTCTCAATAACTGCTTTTATTATTATTAAGACAATAATTATATACATGTTTAACTTTCGGCACTGGTAGCCAAAATTTCCTAAAATCGGTTGAGAACTCAAAGCTCAGACATGAAAAACGAACAACAAAAATATATAAGTTACGCAGTTGGTGCAGGTACCTAAAGTTGACTTCTACGATTCTAATGGCACAGTAACAGCCTAGGCTGACTACACGTGAGGTAGTCGTCTATTTCCCTGTTTTCGGGCGACAAGTTGAGATAAGAAAAATTACCGAACACCAAATTTACACCGACATAAGTTAGCCGTTCATCATTGACTATACACACAAAAGCAAGATCTCATTAACTTATCTTCGGGTATAACAACATCTAACGCTTTAAATTCACATTGAGCATTGTTTGGAAGTCTCGTTACTGATATATGTTATTATACGGTAAAGTGACGTTTTCAACATATTCACGAAGAACTTTAATAGTTAACATTTATTTGATACTTATAAACATACAACTTCCTGCTCTTTATCGCGTTTTCAAATTTACTGTAACGTCAGTAGATAACTCTTGAATATATATTTTTGTTAATCTAACGATAGGCGTAAAAAAAAAGTATGTAAAAAGTTATCCCATTTCATGCATAATAACACCCCTACTATACGAATGAACTCTTCTAGCGCTAGCGGGAAGGCAAGCAAGTTCACTACACGGTACCCTGTTTGTGCAGCGTTAGTCGCATATAGATTGTATGCTGGCATTTTTGCTAGGGCATGACCCATGTCAGCCATGATTCATGCGCCGCCATGCGGCGTCTCCTTCAGGCTTTGCCGCCCTCCATACAAACGGGTCCCAGCTGTGAGGGCTCTAATCTAATGTTTCAAAGGGGAACGGAAAGGGGTTTTAAAGTCCCACTAAAGTTACAAAGGTACTCTAGCAGTGGATAAACGTTTTTAAGGATGTAAAAACAGCAAGCTGTTTTAATCATGGCAAGTTTGGTTACAGACGACTTGCACGCGTTTATAATACACACCTGTTCATAACCCAAGACCAACAACGTCTCGATACTGAGAAACGATGTTTAATTTTGAAGTATCTAAATGAAAACTACTTTAAGTTATGCAAAATTAATTAACACAAATTTGATGTGAAAAATATTAAACGAAGGAAAAAGAACTGCTTTTAAATGGAAATTTCTTCGATATCTAGATTGATGGATGATGAATGTCAGTGAAAGACGCCACTTAAGCTTAACTTAACAAAGAAAAAAAAAGCCGGGTTTGAGAGAATTTAGCAGACTTCACCGTTCAGTAGCGGGACAGCGGAAACACACAGGGAAGCTCAGAAATAAGAGGGAGAGGTGTTCGCTTATTTTGAAAAACCTTGACATGGGATGAGCGAGCTAGCTCACTAAGGGGTCGTACGTAACTTTACAAAAATGTCAAGAATTACTACAAACGGGGCTAAAAACAACAACGGCAGCATTTTACTCGGTTCTGTAACTACTAAAAACTTACTGCGATTAAATAAAATTAATTCATTTGCGTTTTATTGTACACCTGAAAACTATGATACTTTTGTGATTAGATTGAAATTATGAGAATTTATGATTGAAAATAATGTAATAATATGACAAAAACACTATCTTCTGTATCCTATCCAGTGTATACTCTAGTCGAAACACTGGGTAGCATGGTAAAACATAATAGCCATTTAATTAAAACACTTATTTATCACTAATTACATAAAAGTAATTGTATTAGTATTTTGCATGTTACTCATTACATAACCCCTTTACATTTGCTAAACAGATTAAAAAACAAATACGCTTTGTTATTTACGGTGCTTTAAAAATACCAATAGTTTTACTTTAAATTATGTTGCAAATTGATCTTTTATAAAAATAACATTTATAGGAAAGTATAACCTATCAACCAACATTTTCAATGTAATTTACGTATCTTATTAGGAGGTAACTGGTTGTTATATCAGAATACTACGCAGAATAAGTAAGCATCCTCATCCCACTCGACATTTCAAAAATAATATAAAAGCAGCCTTTTTGGCACTAAATATAAATTTCACTTTACTAAATGAATGCCAAAACTTTACCTTCCAAAACTGATCAAAATTCATATCAGGCAGACTAACGCGCGCATTAAAACAGCCGACGTCAACTGAGCAAGATACGGACCTTATACTAATGTTTTTACTCTTATTATTACCACAGCAAGCACAAACATTTTTTTTTGAGTTAATACTCCTCACTCCCTGTGCTATCACCCTCCGCTAAGTGCTATGTTTAAACCCCGAAAAATTGCACGAAAAGGCAATTTTTTTGAAATATCTGATGTTTGTTGTGTATTAGAATATATGTAGTTACGTATATATATATATATTCTGAATTTCTCCTTTATTAAACTTTAAGCTACCTGTACAGATGAAGTAATGAAACTGTAGCTACACGTTCCTGAGATTCATCTTCTATGACATATATTATTTATACTTACCTATATGTACAATATACAACTGGATTTTTTCCTCATCACTTAACGAAGTCATTTAAACATACACTTCACAGTTAAAACCAAAAACCATGTTGTTGTTAACAATAAGTTGAACGGCCGCCCCGGGGCGCTATTTTCTGGTGTTCCCGGCACAGAAAGATCCTTATCAGGGGACAAATAAGTTCTGTTCTCACCACTGCCGAAAATTGGCGCATCTTCTAATGCTCTTTCTGCTGCCTTACTAAAGCTACTATCTCCCGTAGTCAAGATATCAAAAACACATGCATCAAAATAAAAATTAGCAACTTTACGTTGTCTACACAGCTCAACTGCTTGCTGCAACGGGATGGCGGGGCGAGAGTTACGGGTCATTTTACTGACCCAATAGTTAGGGTTAGCCAGAAACTGCATATAGTCAATACGCTCTCGACGTGGGCAACCCTTAACACATAGTTGTAAAGTGTCTATATTAGCACCAAGGGTTGAAACTTCTTTTGGAATTTTTATAGCGAACGTGAGGTATCTTCCAATTCGACGAATTACAATCCGAGTGGAGATGTGGCCGATGTGAATTTCTACGTGACTGCCAGGATCCACTTCCCAGATGAATACGGAACCATCATCGGGCTTCCCTTTAGATCCATCTATGAATACACCGGGTAGAATGTTGGATTGAGCTTCAAAAGTTTTCTCACGAGTACATGGCTTATGGTCTCGCACGATCACAGTTACCTGAAAAATAACGAGACCAACACATTATTCACATCGTTTAGCAATCCTTTGACTGTAGCGCTACATTTCAAATGGTATACGCTCATTCTGTTATAGCTTTAACATTTTCAGATTTCCGATAAAGTCCAGGAAAGTTAAGAAAAATGGAGGGGGGGGGGCATTTTACACAATTCGTACAGGTTTTATTACATTGTAGGCTATATTTTCAATGTTTTAATTTAGATGTTAGCTAGACGGCGCATCACATTAAGGTCAAATAAGTGCTAGATTACCTGAATTATTCTAGATGACATCACGAAAATCTAGTAACTTTGACGAACATCTAGTAGTGACACATCAGACAAATACTAGTGAGCCCGTCAATAAATGAGCTAGCAGTGAAGTTTAATTTCAGTGACGTATTTGGATCAGTGTTAGTTTATTGTGTGAATTCAGTTACTTGATCGATTTGCTGTGCCATTTTACAAGTAAGTTTATTTTTAATTTAGTGTGTACCATTAGCGAGGAATTTCTGTTTGTAAGTCATTTCTAAATTTAAGCCTACAACAGTGTACAAACTGATAAAAACGATAAAGAAGGTATAAACTAATTTATTATAGTTACGTGGACTGGACTTTGAATTATTTATCAAATAATCTAAAATAACATTAAAATACTAAATTGAAAGAAACAAGTCCGTACTCTATATGGTTACGATTCGTGATAAACTCCTTCAAACCGCTTGATAAAAGTTACTATTCGAATATCAACTTACAGTAATCAGTTGTGACAATTAAAGCAAAGCTATCGAAATGCACAATTCAAACTACAGTGATAAAATATAAATTGATATTGCGATAGTGTGTATGTACTGGGTATTCCAAAATATTAATTTGTACAAGTTACAAAAATGGTTTGAGAAATGTTACTGGCTTTGGACATATTATATTATAGAACCATTGTTCATTTTGTTTCTTTGATGATATGCAATACAATATGGTAATGACTAAATACTGTAATTTATGACAGTTACATAATCAATAGAGGTAGAAAAAATAAGCTAAAAAATTAAAAAATACCCGTCAGGTTTTTATAGGGGCTGGATTCTTTACAGTAGGTGTTTGTGACTTGCGATAAATTTCAACAATAAACGGACACAATCCACTTGTTTTAAAATAATATATTCAAAACAAATCAAACATAGGTACAAGAAATCGTTACACTTTTGGTTATAACAGTTGTATCCAGAATTTTGAATAATTCTTTTTCGTCAAAAAGTCCAAACGGGCTAGTTCAGTTACTTTAGAACCCATTTGACAATACGAATTATTTCTTCTCTTCTCTGTTATCACATTACAATCAGTGGTAAATTCACTTTAGAAACCTCCAGTTATGGCTAAACTGACACTCACGATGTCTAACGTCACTTTTTACACTTTTACCTTCACTAACTTACTTTTTCACTGTATCTGCATGTATTTATAACACGCGAAAGAATATTCTAGAAATATGTAGCCCTTCAGTAACAACAATATTAAACATAACGAGAAACTTAGAAACTTCGAGTAAGATGACGTCAACGATATTACGAAAGCCAATTACAACAATTAAACTACATTAACAACGTAAAATTCGTAGTAATATAACGAAGCTTGTGATAACTATCGCTTTTAAAATAATTAACTTTTAACACGCTTGTTATGAAAACTAAGTAATCATTAAATAATATATCACTAAATAAACTAAATAATAAATTCAACTGAACAGTCTTGTATGTCCAACAATACTCTATTTACAACGAATGACATCATGAGTTAATAGAAAAAGTTTAAATTTCCTTGAAGACTACTTTTTTTTATACATATTATAAATAAGTCTGAATACAGTCATAAGAAGCTTTATACTCGTAGTAACGATAAATGGCAACCTCAGCAGATGTTTTCTACGAAACACAAATAAAATTATGCTAACGCACGGCCTTTCAAAAGAAAAGGCTTGCAGTATTATCAACATGACTCGACAGTGTTGCCAAGCAACCACCAATAAACCTGGTCTAAACAACTGTATGTTTCATGACCTTGTGAAGAAGCGCGAGACAAGTTTTGTTCTTATATGTTAGTTGAATACGTGCAGCTAGACACATCGTCACCATAAGCAAGGTGGATCAATTTCTGAAACAGGTGTACAGTATTACGTAATACTAAGAAATCAACTTGTATATACAAAATAATTTTGTACATTACAATCCTTTTGTTACTCATAATGCGATATAAAAAAGTCATTTTTTTTCTAAACTCCTTTGGAAGTTTACAACATTTAATTTCGTTATAAGTTTTAGCAAAACTGCTTTTATTATGACATTAACAGTAAAAATTTAGTATTCTACATTAAATCAACTCTTTTTCGATATACTGAAGAAGCAAACCTCTCGTATGCATTTCAGGCTTCTCAAATAATATTTTTGTTCAAAATAATTATTATCCATTCATGGTTTTATATACATCATATTTTTCCAACTCCGTGCACAGTTTTCTTTCCAACGAAACTGTAAAGCAACCCATTGGTCAAATCAATGATATTTGGATTTCGTGTGGTTGCTTTGTTTACGTATTAACTATACTACAGGGTGGGCAAAAAGTCTGGGACCTCCTTTATTTAAAGCTCATGTTAACAATTTAGTTTCAGTGTGGCGTTATCAAACAGATTGTGGCAAAAGAACGATACGAAAAAACTGACACTTTGAAGCAAAATACTGTTGAAAGTTTCGCCTAATATGCTAAGGAGGATGTCACATCGCACATGGAGACGTATCGTCCTATGTCATGAAAAACAGACATTTTGGATTATTAATCGTACCTTTTGTTATTCTGTGTCAATATGAGATATGTCAATAAGCAATAAATTATTTCTTTCATGTATACTAGCAGACTTTTTGGCCCACCCTGTACACTACCTAGTATTGTAAGGCTTGAAATGAGGAAAACAAATGTATATTAAGAATTAAATGATAATCAATATTCTTTTTTTTTTTTGCTTAGAATAATTTAAATGGTGGGTAAGTTATATTCTCCAGTTGCAATATTTTGGAATGGACGTTTCGGACTGATATTACAGGATTTCCTGAGGAATGGAAAAAGATTTGCGCACTTCGAAACGCTGTCACCAAGTTACGACATGTGTATGGTGACCGTTAGTCAAGCCTAAAAAACGCTCGTTTTAACTTAATTATGTATGTTAAATGATGCTTAAAAATGTTTTATTCATTTCTTCTCTATAATACTACACGGCGTTAAGCATACTGCTTGTCAATGATTCGATATTGGTCAAACTCAAATTTTAGATCAGATATGTATAAAACCAACGACATACTGATGCAATGGTGTCTTACAGTTACATTTTGCACAATTCGAATGTATGTTTAGGTTCCAAATGTAATCGTGAGCGAGGTGAAATGTATCTTTACATTATACACACATTCATTATTTTCTTAATAGTTTTAGCCATTCTAAACAACACTTTTACAAGTCATGTAGTCTATGTGGACATTCTTAAATCCAGTTCTAGCAGTACTGTTACATTAATTTCACAATACGTCAAGAAATAGACAACTACGGAAGAGAAACGTCTAAACAATGCCTCACTGGTGAGAAAGTACACCCTGCGGTATACGATCAAGTTCACTTAAATTAATCGGTAGCCTATTTTTAAGTGACATGCTCGAATCTAGAAAGCTGAAGGAGGAAGGATGGGAAAAGGGGGGAGATGGAATCACTCGCTTTCGTTACAAAAGTAAATTGGAAATCTGAACAATAATTAATGTGATTAATTACAATACTGATGGGATTTTTGTTTTCATTTTTTGGGTGATTTATATGTTATTAGGGGCCTTGTAGCCAACAAAGTCACACACACCCACAAGCATTTTGGTGCATATATCCAATATTTGAAACCGTTGTTATTTGGTGAAACTCCATAACTACAGAAATGAGGAAAATAAAGATAACTGTACGTTTCACAAATATGCCATTTACTACTACCAAGGTTTTGCCGATGTCTTTAAGGGTGAAACCATGGCAGTAATAAATAAAACATCCAATGTCTCCGTTTTCCTCAATTCTTTGCATAAATAGTTTGAAAAAATTATTTAAAACATGGACACCGTCGATAATTCTTCGGTTAAACTGCTCACATGACGCCGTATTCAAAATCTTGCACAACTCTTACCAACTTCCTCAAATAAAATACAAAATATTCATGTTTACACGAAACATTTGTTTCTGCCTAGCATGTTTTACTTTCAGATAATTTCAAATAAAATACACTCGTACATGAATGTTTCTCCCTGTGCGACCTCTCTTAACGATGGGGGGGGGGGGTATATCTATATTTAAGGTCAGGTTTTTCACAGCTTAGGCCCACAGACTTAATGAAATGGGCTGCACGGACTTCAGAAAACAAAGTCATTTATCTTCCACGGCTGTTGGCAGGCGGTTTGGGCCAGCCATCCTGAAAACAAAGCGCCTATATGAACTAACGAGTTCTATCTATATCTCTCTCCCTGTATATCATGTTTGGTGGAAAATGGACAATCTTCTTCTGTTTTGTGGATATCCTCATGTCTTAAGACATTAGCACAGAAATATATACAGCTAACGAGTGCCAATTATGTATTGCTATAGCTTTAACACGTGTAATAGTTTCGCAAGATGGTGACAGTTATCAGTTATACTACTTCAACATTATGCTTCTAGCATGGGATAGTAAGTAGTGTTGATATATTATTGCATAACACATTGCATGTTACAATAATATATTAATCATTATGATTCTTAATAATTCATTGCTACTAGCAATAAGCGTTAAAAAGAGCATCATATAAATGTTTTTAAACACTTCAGTTTTATTGATTCAATACGGATTTTCAGGAAAAAGTCGATATAACATTTAAAACAGGATCAGGCTCCTAAAGTAAGAGTGTAGACAGAAGAACGAAAAATAGCGTATGTTCAAAAATTGTGGTT